CGAGTCGGGGCGCCCCCCGCGCGCGGGAGACGGCGAGCCTCGTCGTGACCGACGTGCGCCCCCCGGACTACGGGAGGGGAGCCGGCCCTTGTAGGGCGAAGGCTTCTGCCCCCCCGCATGTCGTGGGAAAGGTGCCCAGTTGCGGCTGTCTCGGCTGGAGGGTCGAACGGGGCTCCGATCGGGAGTCTTAGCGCTAGGGTCAACGCGCGCATTGCGGCAGCTGTTTACGCGCCCGCACGTCAACTTCGGGTCCGCAAAGAAAGTGCATTTGGGGGCGCGCGGGCATTTGCAGCGATCTTGGAGCGGGCAGGATCCGCGTTTTGGCGAAAGCATAACAACATTTATGCTTGGGCTTCTCCTTCGTCAGTGGGCCGGAGGAGCGGCCAGTGAAAGGTCGTCTGTCACGGGCGCCCCTGCCATGGGTGGGGGATCGTTGCGGCGGTCGCGGGCGCGGGGCGGCTGCTAGACACAGCGCGTAGCATTTTGCTCCGTTCACAATTCTGGCACCGTCCAGACTTAAACGCTGCGCAAATCATCGAGTCGCGTCGGCTCGATTCGTCATTGAGGTTGCGCCGGTTGCGCCCAAGTCGGTGCACTTCGAGGTTTGCGAGAACACGTGTTCGAAGCCACTCGTGTGTGTTATGAAGGTCGTCGTGAGCCATCTTGCTATAGTCGTGTATATCCTGCTCCATCAAGTAGCGTCGTCGTATCTGCGCTCGGAATAACGACTCGAGTATACGCGTATCGGGTGCTTCGCGGCATTCTAACAGTGCGTTGTCCCAGTGCGCGATAGCCGTTGGAGGTCGTCGCCCCGCGTGCGCATCAGTTGTAGACGTTCAAAGTCGCGCACTGTGTCGTCGACTGCAGTGACTTTTACGGCCAGCTTTGTGTTCCTGAGCTGTGGGGATCTGGATGCGGTAGCGAAGCTCACAGTTGAGGACGGCGGTCAGTCCAGCTGTTCCAATCGATACTCTGGAAGTCGCCGCTGTCCTGGACGTCCTCGTAGGTTGTGGTTGGTTGTTCTGCAGCGCGCAGGAATGCGTGGGCTTGGGCAGGGCGTCCGGAAGCGCTACCAAAGTTGTTGCTGACCATATGTTGCCACTGTTGTAGGCGTGTTGTGCGTGGTAGTTGTGGGATGCGTACGGTGTCTGATTCCTTGGTTGGTGCTGCACTGGTAAGTGAGACGCGTGATAATGTCTGCGATGGAACCGGCTGGGTCGGCGAAGGGGGTCGCGCAGCGGAAGCGTGACGCGTCTGTGTAGAAGGCGCAGCGGAGGCGACGCCAGGCGAGGTACGTCGCGTAGGGCCCGTGCGGATGTCACCATGGGCAAGTGTAGAGGCTCGCTGCTGCCGGTGATCAGGCGGCGGGCTGGTTGGATCTGAGCGTGGCTCCCGTGGGCGGTCTGTGTAGCTCTGTTGGTCGTGATGTCGCGCTGCATCTTGTGAGCGCTTTGTTGAAGGCCACGCTTTTCACCGCTAATGTCGTGGATTCGCTGGGAGTACCTGTCCAGCTGTTGCTCTATGTCCTGGATTCGTCGGTGGAGTGCTTCGCGCTCATGTTCCAAACGGGTGAGCGCTTCCTCTGCCCGTGCCTTTTCGGCGTCTCTTTCTTGGGATATCTGGGTGCGTCGAAACTGCGCGTGGTCCGCCGCCATCTCTACCTCGGCCATTCGGGCTTCGAGGGGGGCGAAATCACAAACCGAAGTCGGGGTCAGCAAAAACAATCCTTAGTTCAGGTAGTTGCTGCTGCTCGACCGTGGAGACCCGGTTCTCAAGCGTTGGCACACGTCCATCTGAAACGTCAAGACGTTGAGCGTAGGCCATCTGGCACCACGCAGCTTGCCGTCCAACTCAGACGCGACTGTGGTCCGGCGGGAGTGTAATGTGGCAGCGGTCATCTCGACCTGGGTACGAAGTGCGTTTGAAGTCCTCACGTAGCTCTGGGCCCGTGGGTACATGCACCTCCGCAGGTGGGATCTGTCGGACCATCAGGAGCTCATCGTGTAAAGTCCTGGTGGCGGCAACCCCGTTGTCTCTGACGCTCACAAGTAGGGCCTCCATCTGGAAGAGGTAGTCGTGAAGCGTCTGAATCGTGCTGGAATCGGAACCTCGGCGTGACTCCATCTGGTCAGCTTGAAGCTGGACCTGAGCGCGGATCGGTCTTTAGCGACCCGGACGTCAGCCAAAGCAAGAGCGCGTTGAAGCTCTGTTCTGAGGGTGGCCGTCTGCGCGGCCAGACCCGACAATTGCTGGGTCGTGTAAGTTTCAACCTGGCCTCGGAGCTCCGCCATGTCACTGGCGGTGGGAGAGGGATCCGACACGAGGTCGCGCCGTTGAAAGCCGTGCCGGGAACGTCTCTGCGAGGGTTTGCGGATGGCGTCCCGAGCAAGAGAGCGAATGTGATACCGTTCTGGAACGTTGCGCTGAAATGCCCGACCAGCACGACTCTCTATGACACGCACATGTTCGCAGACAGACATGTTGGTGGGTGACGTGACCTTGGCCCAACGGCGGCTGCGCGCGGAAACGATGTCTGGAGACACGGTCGCAGCGCCACCGCTGCAGGCGTTGCCACCCACGCCATTCGTATCAGCAAAAGTAAGAGGATATGGGGGCAGGTGTAGCGAATCCAGCCGCGGCTCCGAGGACTGATTGGACACCTGCAAGTGTTCCCACTGGCGCACATGATACGGACGTATCAGGCGCCGCGGGAGGCGAGGTCCTCGTCGTCCTCGCCGTTTGAGCGCGCGCGGGCGGCAGCGACAGCGGGGAATCAGGTAGGAGTTGTCCCAGTGCAGCCGCTAGCGAAGCGGTACTACCTTCTCCTGAAAGGGGGGAAGCGGGTATCACAAATTCTCTCGCCCTCCACAGAGCCGTCGCGACCGCGCGCCGTCGAGGACGCCGCGCGCATACAGGCACTGCGCCCCGAGGGGGCAGCGCCAAGCGGCGGGGCCCACGATGACGCGAGTCGCGACTGCGAAGAGCGTGAAAGAAAAGGCTGGTAATCGGTGTGTATACGGGGACGACCGAGGGGTCGATCCGATGAAGGGGTCCGTAGGTAGAGGCAAGGAGGAAGAGGTTGGCTACTCCTTTTCTTGGGCGCTGCACGGAGGGCAGCGCATTGTTAGTGTGAATGTCAATGCCTGGGCCGATACAGTAGCGGTATGTGGTGATAGAATGGGGATATGAGCGGACTTCACACACAGTAGTAGTAGTAGTAGTAGTAGTAGTAATAGAGGTAGTAGTACTAGTAGTAGTAGTAGTAGTAGTAGTAGTAGTAGTAGTAGTAGTAGTAGTAGTGGTAGTAATGGTGGTAGTAGTAGTAGTAGTAGTAATAATAGTAGTAGTAGTCGTAGTAGTAGTAGTAGTAGTAGTAGTAGTAGTAGTAGTAGTAGTAATAGTAGTAGTAGTATTAGAAGTCAGAGTAGTAGTAGTAGTAGTAGTAGTAGTAGTAGTAGTAGTAGTAGTAGTGGTAGTGGTAGTAGTAGTAGTAGTAGTAGTAGTAGTAGTAGTCGTAGAAGTAGTAGTAGTAGTAGTAATAGTAGTAGTAGTAGTAGTAGTAGTAGTGGTAGTAATGGTAGTATTAATCGGCGTAGTCGTAGTCGTAGTCGTAGTCGTAGAAATAATGTTAGTAATAGTTGTTGTTGTCGTAGTAGTAGTAGCAGCAGCAGCAGCAGTAGTAGTAGCAGCAGCAGCAGTAGTAGTAGTAGTAGCAGCAGCAGCAGCAGCAGGAGTAGTAGTAGTAGTAGTAGTAGTAGTGCTAGTGCTAGTACTAGTACTAGTACTAAAAGTAGTCGTAGTAGTAGTAGTAGTAGTAGTAGTCGTCCTCGTCGTCGTCGTCGTCGTCGTCGTCGTAGTAGTAGTAGTAGTAGTAGTAGTAGTAGTAGTAGTGGTGGTGGTGGTGGTGGTGGTGGTGGTAGTAGTAGTAGTAGTAGTAGTATTAGTAGTAGTAGTATTAGTAGTAGTAGTAGTAGTAGTAGTAGTAGTAGTAGTAGTAGTAGTAGTAGTGGGAAGAGTCGTAGATGTAGGAGTAATCGCGCTTATAATAATAGAAGTCGTCTTATATAGCCCTGCCAGACGTGGGATCTTGATGTTGCCAGTCAACACAGAAAAATAAAACAACTTCGATTCGCAATTGTCCCGCGCGATAATGAAGTTCAGCCTTACCGCCACTCTTCCGGACCAAATCTACATTGGCTGGGGATTCTAAAGGGGCCGGGGTTAGTTCGCGTTTGCAAACGCGCAGAACACAGCCCGGCGTGACATATCCATCCGCAGCGAAGCTAGACCAGCAAGCAAGAATCGGCTGACACATCGAATCGGCAAGAGTCGGACCGGGCGAACTCGAAATCTCAAACGAACATGGGAATCTCCGCGTCGAATTGGTTCAAATCGGCAAGCTGGGAAATCGAATCGAATCGAGCCGGCGAACTCCTCCCCATCTCGCCTCCTCCTCCTCCCTCCCATGAAATCCTACCCTCCTCGCTCCTCGCCCTCCTCCTGCTCCCATCCTCTTCCTCCCTCTCAGCTCGCCCTCCCCCTCCGCCTCACCCCTCCACTCGGATCCTATCGTTATCCTCCTCTCCCTCCCTCGCCTCCTCCCTCTTCTCCCCCGCTGCGGGAGGAAACCGACGCCGCCCCAGCGCACGCGTGCTTCCGAACACCCCCCCTCTGCACGGCGCGCCGGTGGCCTTTTTGGCAGTGGCCGCGCCGAGCGCGCTCACCCCCCCCCAAAGCAAACCCCGATGCCTACGCGTACGCAGCGAATTGCTGGCGCGTGCCCCCTCGGGTGTTGCCGCAGATGCCCCCTGGCCCAAGGTGCCCCTACACGGCCTCCGGAGCACCCCAGATACGAGTCCCGGGAGGCACCAGGAGCTCCAAGAGAGGGCGCGAGAGGCTGGGGACGCCTTGGGCCAGGGCCACCTTCAAGCAGCACTCGGCACGTGCTGGCTTTCCAGCTCACGAGGCACAGGCCGGAGCACCTGGGCTTGCCGTCGCCCTCACGCGTGAAAGCGGGGCCGCCTGTCGGGCGTCTCCAGTGCCTGGTAGCCGCTATGTTGCTTCCTGCAGGGAGGCGGCCACCGATCGGAGGACAAACCGGAAGGATCGGCGCTGCGAGGAGGAACGGGTGCACAGGGTATCCGGGTAAGCCCCACTGGTGACAGTCAAAGTGCTGCAACGAACTCTTAAACAAATGCTGTGCCTAGCGTCCTTGCCCTCCAACTTCAGGAGAAACAAAGACGCCCGAACACATGCCCGTCCGTAAAATGGCTTCAACCCGTGCTGTCGATGCCTGCCGCGTGAACGAACCGAGACCCGGATGGCCCCAGCACAGCCAAGCATAGGAACAAGGAGCAAAGGTGAGAGGCAAAGATGCGAGACCCTTGGACTTCTATAGACTGCGGACGTCGCAAACTCCTGGTGGCGTGGGCCCCCGCCGGGGGCAAGTCCTTCCTCCAAGGTACGTGCTCGATTGTCCTGGGGCCCGGGAAACGGCCCACCGGAGGCCACAGTCCACTCGAAACCGTCTGTCGCAACTCTCAACGCTTTGCTTCGCGACGCCCTGGAGGTATAGAGCGGAGCCGGCGGCGGCACGCCGCTCCCACGCGCGCGAGCCCGGGGACGTGCGCCCGACTTGCCCCCCGACGGCAAACACTGGGCCGGGGAGATTCTGCACTCTGGCTGGCCCCAGGTGCCCAACAGACTCCTCGTCTATGTGGCAACCGCTCCTGGCAGTCCCGGCTGGACAACCGGGACAAACAGGGCAGTGACCAACCGGGGCCACGTCGCGCAGATGGGGCCGACTGGGGCACCTATGAGGGAGCCCAGGGGAACACAAATCAATAGACACGAATCGCCTGATCTCCCACAGTTTCCCATACTTGCTGGACGTTCGTCTTCCCCTTCCACCTCCTGATCGGCTCAGGTCGGGCATATGTCCTCCTACAGGGGGATTTTGGACGAACGAAAAAATAACCCCAGATACTCAAACGTTCCCCCCAAACACAAATATCAGAGAAATCGTGGCAAGATTGCACTGTTTTTGAATATGCCTCCCGTAGAGGGACAGGCCCGACTTAATGATAGGCCGCTGGGGCAGGTGGGGCAACTGCGGCCGCCTGGGGCCCGTGGGTCGACCAGCAGTCGATCCATCGAGATCCATCGCCCCCGTTCCGCGCTGCCTCCTCCGCCCTCCTCCCCTCGTTCCTCGCTGCGCTCGTCCCCCTTTCTCTCCCTCTCCTCCCAGCCTCTCCTCCATTACCATACCCACCTCGCCTTCCCGACTCCTCGCAGTCCCTGATTCCCTGACTCCCGATGGCCGACAGGGAACGTCGTTCGTGGCCCTTCCTCCTCCTCCTCCTCCTCCTCCTCCTTCTCCTCCTTCTCCTCATCCATCCTCCTCCTCCTCCTCCTCCTACTCCTCCTCCTCCTCCTCCTTCTCCTCCTCCTCCTCCTCCTTCTGCTCCTTCTCATACTTCTCCGCTTCCCAGATATGAGGCCCGAGGTCTTCATCCGACGCAACGGCAGGAAGAAACGTCAGGCACAGCTGCACCGAACAAATCTCTGAGAGAGCCTGCGGCCCTGCAGACTGCACTGGGCGCCGCAGCCGTCGCGCCGCGTCCTGGCACCCTGCGAGAGCTCTCCAGGAACTCTCTAGGACGACCTATCTGCTCAATCCTACCCTTATGGATGCCATGACAATGGACACCCTAACAATCCTACCGTTAAATTAAAGATGTGTTTAAAATGTTTGAAACATGTTTGAACAATGGTTCAAGTCATGTTTTACATGTTTAAGACATGTATGAAACATACTTAAAACATCTGGAAATGATTTGGCAACTCGCTTCCCCTCCATTGAACGTCGTCCACAAGCCTACCCCCGAAATCCACCGATGCAGGTCATTCAATCCACGGCCCCGTAGCTCTCGACCCCTTCCCTGGCGACACTTGCTTCCGTCCCGGGTCCGTTTCTGCTGGCCCCAGGGCCCCGAAATCTCAACAGGAAGCCAAGATGGAACGACACAGATCGTCCGCTTAGCTGTCTTGATAAGCAATACGCAACACGTAGCGTGTTGACATGGAACTCCACACGTAGACTGGAAACGTAGGTCTGGCGCAAACCGTCCGCCAAACCACGTGGACCAACACGTGCCGAGCCAGCACGCAACGTGCCAGCACTGACGTTTTGTACACGGCATGTGTTACCCTTAGGAACTAAGCTCAGAAGAAAGCCGGGATGGAACCATGGGACACTCGTCGCTCCCCGCGCAAGACGCGCCGTCTCCTCCACTACCTCCACCTCCTCCTCCTGTCCTCCTGCTCCTGCTCCTGCTCCTGCTCCTGCTCCTGCTCCTGCTCCTCCTCCTCCTCCTCCCCCTACTCCTCGCGTGAGGCGAGACAAAAAGGCGCGTCCAGCGCCGCCCCCGCCCGGCGAGCCCCCGGCGGCGCCGCCGCGGTGGAGCCCCGGCGCGTCTGCGGCGACGCGGCCGCCAGGCTACAGTCCGACAGCCGCGACGGAGGCGACGCGCCGCACGGCGCCGGAGGGGGCGTGCCTGTCGGGGGGGGACGACAGGGTCGGATAGCAAAGGGTAGGGCTCAGACGTGATCGCGTCGTGGAAAAAATCAGGACGGGAGGTTTTGGGCCAATTTCGGCCTCGGGGGGCCCTCGCCAGGCCTCGGGACCGTCAAGAAGCGGCTCAGGATGAAGAACCGGTCCCGGGGAAAGAATCGGGACTTGCAGGAACCCCGCATTGAAAAAATCAGGACGTCGCATGTCTGGGGGTAGAGAATCCACTCACGTAGCTGGTCTTCCTGGCACTGGGAGGCGCCCGTGTATCGAGGACTGGGCCCGGCGGCGCGGCGGAAACGGGTTGAACACAGCAGATTTCGCACCCCCTCCTTTCCCCACAGTAGGAGCTCGACCACAAGAAACCTTCCACAAGAAACCCAACCCTGAGACCCCACGACGTCTGTTGATTTGTGGTGTGGGAACGTCACGCTGTCCATAGCAAAACCATCGAAACCCAACAAACCCAGGGCAACCTGAAGGCAAGCAGAGTGTTTCTTGGCATGGATTTCCGCTGTATCCTGCCCTCTTGCTCCGCACGTGCCTGGGCTTGCGGGTCGGGAGCGGGGCGCGGTGCAGCGTGGTGCACATGCGCCCGCAGGCCGCAATTCTCGACGCCGGCGCTGCGAGGGGGGGGCCTCCGAAGCGGGCGCGCCCCCCCGAAACGCCGACCACGGCATCACCGATCAGGTGCAGGTCGGCCGGAGCTTCGGCCGGCGCACGCGTGCAGTGGGGCAACTGTAGGGTGCTGCGCGATGCGCGGCGCGGTGCAGCGCGGCGCGCGGTGCACGTGTGCGGGTCCGGGCTGTGCGGTGCGCTGCGGTACACGTGCGCCGCGGTGCGGTGCAGTGCGGTGGTCTCCGACGGGGCGTCCAGACAGCACCCCACGCCAGGGGTGAGGAGACGAATGTTCGAGGGCCAACCTTGGCGCTGTTTCGCAGGGCTGCCCCACGCTGGTTCCACCGGGCATTGTGGGAGAACTTGGCAGAGCATCCTGCACGCCTTCGAGCTCCTGCGCCGCCACGGGCGCAAGGTCTGCCGCGGGCAGTTGGACACCTAGGGGCACACGCGCGAGTCAGCCCAGGAACGACACCTGCAGTTCAAGGGAGCTCTTCGAGGGCCGCTCGCTGGGATGCCTGATCCCTGGCCATGGCAGTCCAGGGCCCTGGGCTGGCCTCGACCAGGAGGGCCTCTGAGCACCTTCTGGGGCCCAGGCTGGCCCCGGCCAGGAACGGCGGTGGTGAACACCTGCGCAGCTGCACACCGTCCGCGGGGCCCACGCGTGGCCATGGCGCCGGGGATGGTGGAGCACAAGCTGCACAGCTGCCGTCTGCGGACTGAAGGGCCGAACACACGGTGACATGGACAGGACGCCGTGCATCTGGCGCGTGGGCGCCAGATCCACGGATCGGGGCAGGCGTCCCCCGAAACGTGAGGCCAGGGCCGCCCAATTTGGCGACGGCGCGCGCCGATCCTGCCCGAAGACTGCGGGCAAGACTATATCCAGATCCAGTGCGTCTTGGACTTCCTTGGAAGTGGCGCCACAAGGCCGAGGCGCACTGAGAATCGAATCAAGCCTCGAGGGGGGCGCTGGGGGCAGGTGGTTATCTATGTCCAGTGCGCGTCGGGCTTCTGGGGAAGGGAGCCCGACCCGAAACTCCAGGCTGCAATGGGGAACAGAAGCATTGCCCGCAAAAACGGAAACGGGACCCGCCGCTGGTCAATGTCTGCGCTTCCTCGAGGGGGTGAGCCTCACGCTGCTCCCTCGGCCGTTCGGGGCGCAGCACGCTCTGGGCGAGGCGCCGCTGCTGGAAGAAGCACCCCGCGGCCAGGAGACCGCCGAGAACGCAAGAAACCACCTGAAGACCTCGAAGCTCGATGCCCCATCCTGTGATGAAGCGCAACGGTATGGGGGGGGGACAGGCAAAGGGGGGGGGAAACATGAACCCGAGATCGGCGATACATCGCCGATAGATCGGCAATAGGCCCACGATAGTGGATCCGCACGTTCCTGGGCAAGTTGGCGCTATCGGGACCCTATCGGCGATCAATGGGCGATTGGGGGCCGACGCTTCCCCCCTTATGCCTATTAAGACGAGGCCAACACGAGGACAAATCCCTCCAACCCTCTGGGCTGGGTGGTCCAAGGGAATTCCCTGCCACAACCCCTCCTTCCCCTGCTCGAGGAAGTTCCCTATTACGATCCTCACCCAGGCGACCTGCGACCAACCAGGAACCATGATCACCCCACACCACCCCTGTCAATTACTCCGACGGTAGGACCCCACACGAGAATATGTTTAGCTTACCCGTTGCCCTTTCCTCCTCCCCCTGGCGGACACCCTCTCCTCTCGCCCCCTGCACTGCCCTCTCTTCCCCCTTGTATTCCCCTTCCTCCTCCTCTTTCTTCTCCTCCTCCTCCTCCTCCTCCTCCTCCTCCTCCTCCTCCTCCTCCTCCTCCTCCTCCTCCTCCTCCTCCTCCTCCTCCTCCTCTCGCGCCACTTCCTCCTCGTCGTCGGCCTCCCCCATGCCCCTTCCCTCCTCATCCCCCTGCCTTTTCTCCATGTGCACCTCCCCTTCCCCCTCGTCGGGGCAAGCAAATCAATTTTCCTCAGCGCCGTCGCCGCCTCGGCCAGCGCGCGCGCGTCTGCCGACGGCTACATCGCGAAGCCGTCGGGACAAACCTTCGGGCTGGGCCGTAGGCTCCCGCTCGAGACTTCCTCCATATTCAGGTCTCAAGAGCCCAAAAGTGACGACAGTTGCACGTTGCGGATGACCCGCTCGGATTCGAACATGAAGCGCGGGCCCCATAGGGAGGGGGCTCCCGCCTGAGACTTCCTCACAATTCACTCACAGACGAGGCTCCCGCTCGAGACTTCCTCCATATTCAAATCTCAAGAGCCCAAAAGTGACGACAGTTGCACGTTGCGGATGACCCGCTCGGATTCGAACATGAAATGCGGGCCCTATAGGGAGGGGGCTCCCGCCTGAGACTTCCTCACAATTCACTCACAGACGAGGCTCCCGCTCGAGACTTCCTCCATATTCAGGCCTCAAGAACCCAAAAATGAAAACAACTACACGTTGCGGATGACCCGCTCGGATTCGAACATGAAACACGGGCCCCATAGGGAGGGGGCTCCCGCTTGAGACTTCCTCGCAATTCACTCACAGACGAGGCTCCCGCTTGAGACTCATTAGCATTCAGGTCTCAAGAGCCCAAAAGTGACGACGGTTGCACGTTGCGGATGACCCGCTCGGATTCGAATATGAAGTGCGGGCCCCATAGGGAGGGGGCTCCCGCCGGAGATTTCCTCACACTTCACTCACAGACGAGGCTCCCGCCTGATACTTCCTCCATATTCAGGCCTCAAGAGCCCAAAACTGACGACAGTTACACGTTGCGGATGACCCGCTCGGGTTCGAACATGAAGTGCGGGCCCCATAGGGAGGGGGCTCCCGCCTGAGACTTCCTCGCAATTCACTCACAGACGAGGCTCCCGCCTGATACTTCCTCCATATTCAGGCCTCAAGAGCCCAAAAATGACGACGGTTGCACGTTGCGGATGACCCGCTCGGATTCGAACATGAAGCGCGGGCCCCATAGGGAAGGGGCTCCCGTCTGAGACTTCCTCACAATTCACTCACAGACGAGGCTCCCGCTCGAGACTTCCTCCATATTCAAGTCTCAAGAGCCCAAAAGTGAAGACAGTTGCACGTTGCGGATGACCCGCTCGGATTCGAACATGAAGTGCGGGCCCCATCGGGAGGGGGCTCCCGCTTGAGACTTCCTCACAATTCACTAACAGACGAGGTTCCCGCCTGATATTTCCTCCATATTCAAGCCTCAAGAGCCCAAAAGTGACGATGGTTACACGTTGCGGATGACCCGCTCGGATTCAAACATGAAGTGCGGGCTCCATAGGGAGGGGGCTCCCGCCTGAGACTTCCTCACAATTCACTCACAGACGAGGCTCCCGCTCGAGACTTCCTCTATATTCAAGTCTCAAGAGCCCAAAGGTGACGACAGTTGCGCGTTGCGGATGACCCGCTCGGATTCGAACATGAAGTGCGGGCCCCATAGGGAAGGGCCTCCCGCCTGAGACTTCCTCACAATTGACTCACAGACGAGGCTCCCGCCTGATACTTCCTCCATATTCAGGCCTCAAGTCTGCGAGTAGTGATGATGATGATGATGATGATGATGATGATGATGATGAGGATGATGATGATGATCGTTCGATGCCGATGATGGTGAGTGATCGTGCGATGGTGATGGTGATGGTGATGCTGATGGTGATGATGATGATGATGATGATGATGAGTGGGGAGTGATGGTGATGGTGATGATGATGCGGAGGAGGCAGCAAAGAGGAGCAGAGGAGAGGGAGGAGGAGGAGGAGAGATTCTGCGCGGAGGGTGTGCAGAGAAAACAAGAACCCCACTTAGTATGTGGGGGGAAAAACCATACAAAACGCACTCTGCTTCCAAATTCGGAACATGCGCAACCAACCCGATGCGCCACCCACCCCATCATGCCTGTCAACAAACACTAAAACGTACACTTCGGGGCAAAGTGCGGAGTCATGTTCGTGAGGCCCGCGAGCACTTTGTATTGTTTTTGAAAAGGATTGCGGGGGGGTCAGCATCTTGCCTGCCGTGCGCAGAGTTACCATCCTTGACAACAAAGAACAACCGAATGCACCTCGCGGCTAAATCTGGATCATGCGCGGCCGCCCCGCGATCATTGTCAAGTGGTGTTTGAGAGGGGCGGCGGCGGTGGTGGCGTATGGCCTGCTGTGCGCAGGCCCACCAGGCACACTGATGGGCATTGGTTTTCGACAAGGATGATGGGGGCCGACATGCTTCCCGATGTGTGCTGTCACGTGCGCAAGAGCACCTGGCATACTCTGCACGTGCCACGAACGTGGCGTACTTGGCGCGGCTGGAGTATGCGGCACACCTGGCGCACGCGGAGGCACGTGGCGCATCCGGCGCACCTGGCGTGCCTGGCACGCTGGGTTCCCATAGGTGCCTGTCGCGCGTGACGCGCCTGGCACGCGTGGCGCACCTCGCCCCAGCGTCGCACACATGGGCTTGTCTTTGCTTCTCACTAGCTGTCCGTCCAAAGACGTCCGCTGAGCATGCTGAGGCTCGGGTGTTACTCATGTGTTGGGAGGGTGGGTGGGAGTCAGCTAGGTGGCTTGCTATCTGGAGGGTGTCTTGACCCCTCCCCTATCATCTCCCCTGAGCCTGGGAGGGGGAGGGGACGGAGCCGTCAGAGCGCCCAAAATGGCCCCAGATGGTTCTAAGAGGGCCCAAGACAGCCCAAGAGGGCCTCCAAGATGGCTCCAAGATACCTCAACATCGCTTAAAATATCAAAAATAGCATCCGACAAGCCTCCAAGACGCCCAAAGGCAGCCCAGAAAAGGTTCCAAGTGCCACTCCCGCCTCTCAAGGCGCCTCCCAAGAGACCAACATCGTTCGAAAGCCTTTGGAAAATCAAGGTTGTTTAGCTTCTCGCGTTTTTCGCTTCCGATGAGCTTTTTGGGCCTCATGATGGCTCCACGATAGCCCTAGAGAGGCCCCAGAGGGGCCCAAGACGAACCCATGACAGCCCCAAGAGCGCCCAAGAGGCGCCCAAGAGCAGCCCAAGAGGCCCCCAACGGGCCATCGTGGAGCTTCCGAGTGGGGCCTAACTCGACTCCACCCCCTTCTGTGATCGATCTCCTCCAAGATGGCCCCACGAGAGCCCGAAGGGGTACCCAAGACAGCCCCAAGAGGTCCCCCAGACCCCCCCACACCCCCCCAAGAGGGCCCCCAAAGTGCCCAAGTGGCTGCGCGAGGACCTCAAGAGAGACCCGAGTGACCTCCGAGAAAACACTTCCAAGGTGGTTGTTACACTGCATGCTCCTACACATCCCTGATCAAGGCAACTCGCCTGGCGGTCTGTTTCTGGATGGGCTGGTGGGAATACGCGATCATCTCTGAGATAATCGATAATCTCTGAGATCCCACGGCTCTGGAGGATGTGTCTGGCGCCGCGGCCTTCTCAGAGCGCTCCAGAATTCTCTGAGAGCGTTCAGGAACGCTCTGGAACGGATCTATCCTCGTCCCAGCCCCGCCCGACCGACCCTCCTCCCATGAGATCCGACGTCCAGAGAAAAAATTGAAGCATTGTGAGCAATTGTGAGCATTGTGATCAATCGCGCGTCATTTTTCGAACCGCATCGATCTGTGAGGGTCCCAGGGCCCGAAGAAGCGGGAAAACGCGGGCTCGGAAAAATTGTGACGCCAGGATCTCAAGGCCTATCTGGGCAAGCGCGTTCCACTAACACGCAAAGTAACTACTCGCAAAGAGCCTCGATCCAACGCGGGGGATGTACGATACATTCCATCGAGGCCAGCACGTGCTCTCCGAACGGTTGCGAGTATGCATCCTGCGAGTCGTGGAGCGCGCCCGGTGACTTCCGCTGCCCCTGATGTGGGCCCCCCTGCGGGCGGCGGCGCCCCGACGCCCCCCCCCCTGCCCGCCCGCGCGCGGCTTCGTCCGCGGCCCCGGGGGCGCCCCTCGGCGGCCCGCCGTGCGCCAACGCGCCCCCGGCTCTCCCGGGCGTGCGCGGCGGGGTCTTCTCCCGCGCGGCGGCGGGCGAGCGCTCGGCCGCCAGCGAGGCCGACGGCAGGCGCAGGCGGCCCTTCTGCACGCACGCCGCCACCTGGGCGGCGGCAAGAAGCCCCGAGGTCCTGGAGCTGCAGCTCTGTCACAGCAGGTGCTTTCGCCGGGTTTCGGGCCCAAGGACCCTCGCACATCGATCCGGCTCGGAGAAATGACGCAGACAGATGGGGTCTGGGGCCCCAGCTTTGAGTTTCCACGATGTTTCAATATTTTAGAGACGCCAGATCTCAGGGTCTTGCGATGCGATGCGATGCGGTGCGATGCGACCACCGTTGCCGACAGTTTGGGCCCAGAGCTCGGACCAGGCGAGTGCGGCCGTGGCCCCGCGACTCTGGCTCGTCTGGAGCCATGCAGTGCGAGACCCATTAAAAAAAGGTCGTACGCAAGGCGCCATGGCGGCCTCACGCCGCGGCTTGCACGGGCCGCCAGCGCGGCACGCCACGGTGGAAACGAGAGCGCGCACGCGCGACCTTACGCGGGCACCTTATGCGCGCCAGTGTCCGTGCAGACGACCCCGTGTTTCAGCGTCGATTACCTCGCAGCGAACGCGGTCCAGAATCCAGGCCGCGACCCCGCGGACACGCGATCTCCCGGATGCGCTCCGCGCGGGGCACCCGCGGCAAAGTCGGCCCGCATCCGCGGGGTCGCGACCCACGGGTCTGGCCTCTGAGGCCACAGATTCGGACCCAGACGTGCGACGTCCAGATTTTTTCGATGCGCGGCCTCTGGAAGTCCCAACCCTTTCCCCTAAGACCGGCTTTTCGTTTGTTTTTTGACGGTCCCGAGGCCCAGCGAAGGCCCCCCGAGGCCGAAAATGGCCCAAAACCTCCCGCCCTCATTTTTTTGCGACGCGATCATGTCTGGAGATATGTTTTACGCCCACGACGAGCCCGACGGGGGCCGATTCCGCAAAGATGGGCCCCTTTTCTGCGGAGGGCGAGCGCGCCATTATCGGAGCGACCCGGCCAGCCCTCAAGAGGGCCGAGGCGGGGAAGGAGGACTGGAGTGGGCGTGGAAGAGACAAGCGTGGGAGGAAGAGGAAGAGGATGATGATGATGATGATGATGATGATGATGAGGAGGAGGAGGAGGAGGAGGAGGAGGAGGAGGAGGAGGAGTTGGATTTGGATTTGGAGGAGGAGGAGGAGGAGGAGGAGAGGAGGAGGAGGAAGGAGGAGGAGGAGGAGGAGGAGGGAGGAGGAGGAGAGGAGGAAGAGGAGGAGGAGGAGGAGGAGGAGGAGGAGGAGAGGAGTTGGAGTTGGGAGGAGGAGGAGGAGGAGGAGGAGGAGGAGGAGGGGGAGGAGGAGGAGGAGGAGGAGGAGGAGGACTGTTTGGACTGTTTTGTTTACCCAGAGGCCCATTCGGGAAACGCTCCCAAGGCAAGGCGCAACCACCCCGCACTCGGAGCTGACGCCCCGAATGCGACATGGCCCCGCCCCGCCCTATAGGTGCGTCACCCTCCCGGGGACTGGGATGAATACTACTCTCCTCGCGGACCGTCCCACATCAGCCACATCACGCTAGGCTGAAAAAATCGGGAGGCGACTGACGGCCTCGCTCAATCGCAACTCTCGCGCACGAAGGATCGCCTTCGGCGCCCCCTCACGGCGGGGGAAAAGACCTCGCCGAATGCGGGAGAGATTTTCCACGCCCTTCCTGGTCGGCCGTCCCGGGCACACGCGGACCATGTGCCTGGGGTCGCTGCCTGTGGTGTAACGTCCACACTGGTGGCAAAAAATCACTGCGAATTCAGGCCAGAACGCGAGCCGGTGAGATCCGTCAAGCTGCTCAGCTACCCCGCCCTCGGCGGCAAGACACGGCGCAATACGACCTCCATCCAGAGCCTGCGCCAGACTCCCTGTTGGAATCGGCCCTCGGCACTCCGTGCCACAGAAATGCAACAACTGGTGCGAGCGTACCATGCGGTGGCAGCGCACGCACGTCCAACGCTCACCACAACGTCGCAACTCATGATCGGACCGCTGGACACCGAGGCGGGCTGGAGTGCGGGCTGGACGCCGAGGGCCCGCTGGCCGCTTGCCCTGCTCCCCGTCCGCTGCGCTCGCCAACTCCAGCGCCTTCCTCGCCCGGCGGCGCACCAGCGACGCGATCGCGTCGATCTCATCGGTGCGCGGCGCGGTGCCGATGAGCCCCGCACGCCGGCCACCCTCCGCGGCGGCGCCTGCCAGCACGTCCGCCGAGGCATTGCCCAGCGCCAGGAAGAAGTCGCGCTCGGAAGTGAGCAGGTGGACGTGCTCCTCCGTGTGCGACGCCACCCACTCCACCTGCACCTCACCAGGACCTCGCGCCGCGAAGGCGGCCCGCGCCCTCTGCCACAGGTCCTCATTCGCGAGCCCCGCCTGACCAGCGCCCTCCAGCCTCCCGTGCCACGCGCGGAACAACGGCTGGTGGTCCGTGACGAACCGCACGTTGCCCGTGGTCTCCTCGAGCGCCAGCACGAAGGCGAAGATCTCCGCTCGGGGCACCGTCTGGCGACGACCTGCCAGCGGAAGCGCTCGGCCCCAAGCTGGAACCCAGACGCCCTCGGGGCCCCGCTGCATGATCACGATGGCCGTCCCGCATCGGCGTCGGCGCGGATCTGAGGAGAAAAAGCCGCCCGAGCCGTCGCCGAAGACAGTGAGGAAGCCAAGGACGTCTCGCAGCTCGTCGAGGTCGCCGCCGAAACTGGCCGCAGCCCCCTGCGCCAACTCCTCGTCGTAGCGCGGCGTGGTGAGCACTGCCGGCGCGACGCCCCGCAGCCACAGGGCGGGCTGCGCCTCGATCTCCGCGAGCGCCCGCGGGAGGAGCCAGTCCGACTTCTCGAAGGACTCATCACCCACGCTGGCCGAGCACAGCCAGACCCTGTGTACCAGGGTCTCGCGGCACCGCCCGCATCGCTTGCAGATCTCGTCAGGCAGCACATAGCCCGCCTCCGTCCTGCGGGCCCTGGGCCACTGCCCGCCAGCGACCACCGAGAGGTTGAGCCCCCACTCCGACAGCAAGCCCTGGGCCTCCATGCGCCGCATCTCGCACGCGATCTGCCAGAAGTCCGCGCCCTCCAGCAAATCCTCCCCCGCCTCGTGCACCGAGGCCTGCCTCCACAGCTGTGCCCGAAGATCTGCCTCCACGTCGCCCAGCACAGGAGGAGGAGGAGGAGGAGGTGGAGGAGGAGGAGGAGGAGGACGAGGAGGAGGAGGAGGAGGAGGACGAGGACGAAAAGGAGGAGGAGGAGGAGGAGGAGGAGGACGAGGGGGTAAGGGAGGAGGAATTCTGGAATTCTGGATATAACGACTGGGTCGAGAACGCACTACTCAAGAGGCCTTGACCTTCCTGGCTTGCTCAGCTTTGCTGTAGACCTTTGGCCCTAGGTTACGCGAAGGGGTGGAGGAGGAGGAGGAGAAGGAGGGGGAGGAGGAGGAATTGCTTTCCTCGCGCGCGCCCTCCCAAGTCCGTAGGAAGTAGTCGCTGAAGTATTCTGGGAAGGCCAACGCGTCCGTCGACCGTGGAACCGAGCTGGAACGTGCGCTCACGCTGATCAGGCGCGAGGGCAGGGAAAGGAGGAGGACTTAGATGAACGTCGTCGTCGATATGGGTCGTCGCCTTCGGCGACGAGGAGGATGGATCGGGGGCTGGGATACTGGCCGCAACGGGCAAGATATACACTTTGAGAGGCTTCCCACTGACCAGCTTGAACCAAATCAGCCATGGAAAACATACACCATTCTTCGCTGAATATCCGTCCCTACCGGACCTTCGGGAGGACCCCATACACTTTAACTCGGGGCAGGATAACTCAGCGCAAATCTACTAGCTGAAGATTAGGAAAAACACGTGGTAATCCCAGCCGGAATCTTCACGGCATCGCGCAACACAATATATTGGGCCCACGTTCTGAACACGGCAACCGACCTCGATGAGGCAAGCTGCCAACAAAGACAGACAAAGCACGGATCATGAAATTCGGACGCGAGCTCCCAAACATAGCCCAAAACTTCACACGAACTGCGATGATGAGAGTACAAACAGAAGGCAATCGGCTCGTCACCTGTCATCCCCAGGATAGCCGTAGTCCACAAACGAAAAATCGGTTCACGAGCAACTCAGCCCTTCGTCAAGGCGTCACTAATCATAGCACAAGTATCCACCCATCACAGCTTACGAAGAACCCCCGCTTCCAATCTATCTCGCAGGCACGCAATGAATACAATAGGTGGGGCTAGGCTGGGGCCTGGAGCCCCGTAGCGCCAAGAGCAGACAATAAGCCCTTGTTATCCCAGCGTACATGAAGGCCCACTGGCAATCGATCGACCAGTGTCCATACGTCGTTGAATCTGCTGCGCAGTAAGAGGCCCATGAACAATCTCACATATCACCACCTGCGCCAATACAGCGTTGCTGATACCATCATCCACGCTTGCCAACTCGGCTGAAAACGCCGATCGACAAAATCGGGGCTGCTTTCGCGAATAAAACTCTACCGTCGCACACAGTCCTCCAATTGGCATGAAACCAACTCCTGCTATCAGGATCACTGCTGCTCGGACCGCTACGCAATCCGGTTCGGTTGCTCTGAGCGCAAGATCAGGAAATCACACAATGCCCCAGCGAAGCGGTACGGCATAGTAAGCCAGAGAACTTTTCTTGCGCTTGATCCATCGTACTACAGAATTCAGATGACGTGCGTGTTTCCAGCGGGGTTCATGAGCATGCCGTTGTAAATCTCCGATATGGGCTGCAACGTCAGCTCTGGGAACTACATCCAAGCAGCTCCACCAAGGAGAAACCAGAACGACGTCCTGTCTTGTAGATCCAGAGGTTCCTCGTCTTCTTTCGTCTTCTCCACCTGCGTGGGTCTCAACTGCGCCGCGTAGTGATCTTGAGAGCACCGCGCGGACCCATCATCATGTCGATCGTGAGTAACTCCACAATGCTCGAACATTCGCTTCTGACGAGTGGGCTTCCCGAAATCTGCCTCCAGCGCGTCCATGAAGGCGTCTGCTAGCCTCTCCGTGGGCGCACCCTTGAGATCGTCCGCGTCCGTGCTGCAAACCATGCGCAGCTCCTCGGTCGCGTCTTTCGGGTCCGCAAACGCTACATCAAGCTTCCGGGCATGTTCATCATCAACGCTTGAGGTGCCAATTCTCCAGGAACTGGCTTACATCTGGCACCTGCCAATTTGCAGTGGAGCTGTGGATCCGCGACCGGAGATAGTAACTGCAGCTTGACCATGACCTGCTTCAGCCTGAGGACCCACAGCCGAGGCGCATCCTTCAGACCGAAGACAGGCGTATCATTTCCAGGCAGTGTTGACTCGTAGCATAATCGGACACCTGATCAAACTGCCAGAACGCGCTGAACGGCAACCAGCGCAGCACGCGCTGAACAGCAACCAGCCGCCTGGACCTCCGCCAGGCGTCCCGCCAGGGACCTCCGGGCCCGCACCTCCTCCAGGTTCTGGAGGAGGCGGCGGTGGCACAGGCTGCGGAACCCCGCCGCCCGGCCCGGATAAAGGAGGAGGCCCTGCGGGACCACCACCAGCAGACGCTGGCGACGACGTGCTCCTCGACCTGACGGGGCCGACGCCGAAGAGGCGCCCCCGCAGTGACAGTCGGCCTTCCGCACCACCAGCGCTACCAGCACCCGATCCGCAGCCAGCAACGCAGCGGCGCAATTTCGGTAACATCGAGCAGTCCGAAGCGAACCGGCGTGCTCATAAGTACGCCGAGTGGCTAGCACTCCGCCAAGGAGACGACGATTTCACAACCGGTGGAGGAGCAAGCGGCAGTGGAGGACTGGCCCCGAGGCCATCGGGGGGAAGCGCGCAGCAGCCCCCGCCGCTGCCACCGCCAGCGGAGCCGCCGCCGCCGCCAGCGGCCGCCGACCCGCTGGCGCCAGCCTCAGACTGAGGCGACGCTGCCGCTCCTGCAGCCACTTCCGCCGCTGCTGCCGCAGCTTTTCGACCTCCTGAACCTGCTCATCAGGGCCCAGTCGACGACGCCACCGAGTCCGATGGCTCGGACATGATTCGAGAATGGGCCAAGATTGCGGAAGGGCAGGCGCGCCAGGAGACGACGTCGCGGCGCCCGCCGGACACCGAGAACCAGCGCGGCACCAAGACGAAGCGCCAAGTTCAACAGGAGAACGCACCAGCGGCACTGCTGCGCGACCGCCAGCGCGAGCTCGACCCCCGCGAGCGCGCTGCCAAGCGCAAGGATCTCTCGGACGATCTGCCCAAGTGCTTCAAGAGGCCGAAGGACACGATCAAGGTCGACCTCTACCTAGATAACTACTTCCAGAAGCACGCGGACGAGCTCTACGCAAGTGCACGACTCCGCGAGGCACTGCTCACGGGCAACGCGACCGCCAAGGAGCTCAAGTTTGACATGCTGAGCGCCACCGAAAAGAAGAACATGGATGCCGCCATGAAGACCGAGTGGTCCAAGTGGACGGAGTTCGGCGCTTGCAAGAAGCTCCCGCCCAAAGAACTGGAGGAACTCCTGCGGCGCAACCCTGCGCGCGCTGGGCGTTGACCAGCAAGGACCAGAACGCCGTGAAGGCGCGCCTGGTCGCGCAGGGATGCCAGGAGGACAGGTCCCAGATCAGGGCGGACGCGCCTACAGGGCCCAAGGGCGCGCTGTACCAGACCCTGGCTGCCGCGGCCCCGAAGGGCTGGGACATCTCGTCCTGCGAAGCGAAATCGGGTAACATTGAGAGGCTACTGCTCCTCTGCGCATGCCAGCCACGAACCCGCCACCGGGGACCCAGCCTGGCGAGATCGCGATGGCCACGGGCGCGATCGGGGCGCGCGATGCCGGGAGGCAGTGGCACCTCTACGCGCAGAAGGTCTTCGCCGAGCATGGCCCCGTGGAGAGCAAGCTCGAGAAAGGCCTCTACTACTTCTACGACGAAGGTGGGCTCACCGCGGCGGTCCACTCACATGTGGGCGACTTCCTTATCGCCCAGCGCAACAACTCCACCAAGTGGAAGCCCACTATCACATCGCTGGGGAAGAAGCTACACCTCAAGCCAGTCGAAAGGGTCCTCAAGTACTGCGGACGTACGATTACCAAGCTCGACGACGAGTTCCGCGTGACCCAGGCCACCGCTGCCGCACAGGTGGACTGCGTCGACTTGAAGGCCCAGAAGGGCCGAGGTGCTGAGGACCGGCTCACCGCCACCGAGGTGACGAGCTGCCGCCACACGCTCGGGCAGCTGCTGTGGCTAGCAAAACAGACCCGGGTGGACATCGCCTGCCCAGTGAGCTTCGCAGCTCGACGCACCAACGTCGCCACCGTGGCCGACGCGAAGACGCTCAATATGACAGTCGCATATGCGCACTCCACCGCGAACTTCGCGATCGTGCTCAAGCGCAAGCTTGTCGACCTGAAGACGGCAATCGCCGCGTGCTTCAGCGACGCCGCGTTCGCCAACGTGGACGGCGCCAAGAGCCAGTGGGGCATGGTGATGGGGCTCACCCATCGTCCGCATGACGTCGTCGGCGGTCGTTGCGACCTGGGCCTGCCCGTCGCCTGGCACTCTGGCACAGTCAAGAGGTCGGTGAAGTCGACCCTCGCTGCCGAGGGACACGCTACCCTCGAGGGATCGGAGACCAACATGTGGTTCCGACAACTGCTGGCCGAGGCCTACAACCCCAAGACGGCGCGCAAGCAGACCGACGCGCTCGCCGACCAGCGCACTGTGGAGATCTACAGCGACAGCAAGGGTCTCGTGACGCACATCGCTTCAGATGTGGGCCAGTCTACCGACAAGCGGTTCCGCATCGTCGCCGCCATGATCAAGGAGGCCGCGCACACCAACAGCGCGCTCAAGCTCAGTTGGATCCCGGGGCCATGGTCGCGGATGCCTTGACGAAGACGATGGAGGCTGGCGCCCTGCTGTCGTTCTTCGGGGCTCGCAAACACACCTATGGGACAGGGCAGCCACACGCTGCCATGCTCGCCTCAGTCCTGTTCACTTTCTTTGACACGGTCAAGGGACAGCCCACGCCTACGCCGACTATGCCAGACTACAGCTTCTACATCTGCCTGCTGACGTTCACGCTGGCCCTCGGCATAACGATCGGTTTCGGCATCTTCGTGACGCTTTGGGCGATCATGAGGCAGAACACCGCGATCGCCACCGAAGAGGGTGTCGCCGAGGCGAATGCCATGGGCGAGCACCCTGGCTGGGACGGCCGCATGCTCGGCCGACGCCGCAACGTACCACCGACTATTCCAGAGGACCGTGATCACGATGGTGACATCACGATGTCCCACGCGGACGTGTTCAGCAGCGCACCGGCATCGAGTTCAGTAGCATCTGGTACGATTCAGCAGCCGCCATCGCCGCAGGTACCGACAGAACCACCGCCTGCCATCGCACCACCACCGTCATCACCAGATGCCGCAGCATCAGCACGGGGATCTGGACGATAAAGATCAGCATGGTCGCAAAGAAATTCGGTTCCTGCATCACCGACCGTGGTTTCCGTGACGAGTTCATCGAGTTCCGTTTCGGCCTCATCAGCCAGTGTTGTGTCGTGGAGCGGATCCTCCCCGGCTGTGCAGCCGAGTGACATGCTCAGCTGTGTGACAGGCGTTCCCCATCAAGATGTTGTCATCGGCCACAACCCGCACAGTGTACTTGCAAGACCTGCAAGAAACACGCATCGTGGCTTCTTCGGCATTAACATTACGGCAACCCCGATTTCACGATCTTCCCGGGTAGTGTGATGAATGACCTCAAAGGCCGTTGGTAGAAGCTCACAGGCAGAGACGTTTGGCGAGGATCTGATCTGGCGGACAAACCGGCGAAACCGAAGAAAGAAAAGAGAACCCCGCTTGGTTTTGGGACGGCAGATTGGCCGATCGGACCGGCAATGTTCTACTACTCATACTGTACGCCCGGTCAAGATTATGTATTCCGCATCGTTGCTCATACAATACGACCGGTCACGATTTATGCATTCCGCATCGTTGCTCCGACTTTACGCTTGGTACGTACGTATTCCGAACCGCCGTTTTTTACTCTCGGATACAGATCCACACGTAACACCAGGCTTTTTTTGGAGAAGCTTCATTTGTTTTAGTGCGCATCGTTTTTGTTGTGATGACGATCGCACCTATCTAGGGGAAAACAAACCTACCTCGCTTTTGACCACCCTCGCTTCCAAGAGATACCAAGCGATGCCAAACTACGGCCTGTACTGGTCAGGTCGCTTGACGAGGCGCGCGCGTGGTATGACTTGGTTTTCCCTGGAAGCGAAAGCGGGGTAGGTAATTCACGCTCTGAGTATCTTGAGAAGATTGCTATATTCCTTTTGGGTTTTGTCGCATCGCGATCGAACCCTGGCCATTGCTGAGTACACCTTGTATGCCATGCAAGCCGTTTGCTTGCTCATCTCTGTGTTTTGCCGGCGAGTGACTTGTTTGCTATAGTCCCCGCTCAGGCCTGTCAGAGGCCGCCCGAGACGGCGACTAGGAGGAGTGTGAATCAAGCTCACTCCCGAGGGGTTTGTGTTGTGTTTCATCCCTTGCTCGCCGCTGCCGCTTTATTTCGAACTAGGGCCCTTGGCCTTAGAGCTACGCCCCTCGCGAGGCCGCGAGTAAGAAGATCCATCGACTATCTTCCATATCACAACTCTGACTCATACTGCTACTCCACGGACCTTCCCTGGGGTGCAGTCTGACCAGGACTTCGAGGCGACTCCAGCCGTGATGGCAGAAGGCGGCCTGGGGCATCGGCATCGGCATCGCTTCTTCCTCTGAGATTACTCCCGCCACGTCCCGATCCGAGGAACGGCGCCGGCCGAGGCCGCCACCCGCGTCGCAAAGGTCATGGTCGAATAGCTCTCGTGCACCTCGGCGGGCTCGGGCGAGATCTGCGCGAAGAGGAATGTCTTGCAGCCGGAGCCGCCGAGCGCGTCCTGCAGCAGGTACGTCAGCTTGGAGTTGCGGTACGGCACGTGGGCCGAGCCGCAGGGATCGCCGAGCGCGAACAGCACGTCGGAGAGGGCGGAGAGGGACCGGTTGATGCAGTTGGCCTCCTTCATCTGCTGCCCCTCCGCCTCGCGGGGGCCCCGTGGCACTTTAGCGGCGCGCAGGAGGGGGGTGGCACCAGGGGGGGCCTTCTGAGAAGGCGGGGGGGCCTCTCAGAAGACAGGGCCCTTCTTACTTAGAAGCGCCCAGCGGCTTCTAAGAAGCCTTCTTGGAAGCCCCCGGGCGCTTCGAAGAAGCCCCCTGCACTTTAATAACCCCGCTCCTGCTTTCTTAGATGGCCGCCCCCCTCGCGCACCTTGCGCGCGCCGCCGAGCACTCCCAAGGAACCAGACGTGGTTCTGGGTCCCCCCCGTCTTGGTAAATGAGCCCCTCAACTACACGTCTGCAAACGTCAAGAGACCGCGGCCAAGCGGCCAAGCGACTGCAGCGCGGGACTGAACGATACACGCGGGAACTGCGCTGGCCGAAATGAGAAGTGGGTGCAGACACTTGGACACATGACCGATGATCTGCACTGGGCATGTGCACGCTGCAGCAGTGCGAGGCAGTGGTGGTGAAATGCTGCCGCGTATCCATGCGCATTCCTGCCGCAGGGAAACTGCGGGGCCGCATCAATATCGACTGGAATCGAGAATCGCCGGAAATGTATGGACGACACTAACGTCTTGGGCGCGACTTAATGGGGCAGCGCTACATGAAGAGGGAGGGGAAAAGGGGCCCTCTTCGTGCCCTAAGGGGCTCCTTTCTGGGCCCTAAAAGACCCCTTTAGGGGCCCTAAAGGGCCCCATTTCTGCAGCCCTCGGTGCCCCCCCTGCATCGCCCCCCCATTACGCGTCCTCCGAACGTCGAAGTAGCGCCCTGGTCCGTTACAATTCTGAATCTCATTGCCCCCCAACACCAATCCTGGACATCTGGACCTCTCGACCCCTTCCCAGGACCAGCATTCCGTCTCGACGCAATTCGTCGGGGGCCACGAGGCCCAGAACTGACTTTTGGAGGCCAAACACTGGCGACAAGCCCGCCGCCCCCTTTACTTCGAGGCGCTGGACGTCTGGGATCAGCGGGGCATTCACTTGATGGACGTTCCGCTGATGGGTGACTTGAGGGCACCCAGGGCCCTTGGATGACAGCAATCTGCCAGCAACGAAGTCCATACAATCCGGCCTCGTCAGGGTGCGTCCCCTGCGAGACTGGCGGGCGCGGGCCCAGGACGGCCCCAGAGGCTGCCGAGAAGTGAAGCAGATGCGTCATCTCCGACATCCGATCTCCACTTGTTCGGGCGAACGAAGCCCTGCGGCAGGGAGGGGCAGAGGGAGGAGGGGGAAGGGGGGAACGCGCGGCGGCCAGAAGCGCCGCCGCTCCCGGAGCGGTTCCAGGGCTCATGCACCGAATTCGCTCTCCGAGCTCCAGCGTCCGCACCAAGAAGCACTTCCCAGAAATCCGACACTGCGATCGTTTCGCGATTCGGCCCTCGGAGCTGCCGAAGCTATCCCTGGGACTAGGTCTCCGCCGCGGGCCGGGCTCGGCTCCGATGGCCCTGGGCCGCAAGTCGGCCCAACTGAAGCTCGAAAACGTGACAGGGGCACCAGTCGAGGTTTTTGCTGCTGCTTCACACGACGCCTCGAGCTATGGGTCAGAGAATTGTATCACCCCTCCTCGGGCCAGGGCCAGCTGCTGGGCCTGGCGGAACAGAAGAAGAAGACAAACTTGAGACAATGTTGTTCTTCCCCGTTTTGGGCCGTCGCCTTTTCGGCCACAACCAGAACAATTGAAAGTGGGAAAGAGAACACGGCCCCTGCGCTTGTGAAAATAGCAAAACACTAAACAGCCCTTTGTGCAAGGAGGAATCGGCGGTCAGCCCGGGGGGGAAGTGACAAGGGGCGGGCCTTCTCAGAAGGCTCAGGAGTTCCCCGGCCTTTCTGAGAAGCTTTCGAAGCCGCCCCCTTCTCAGAAGGGCGACGTCACCTTCTGAGAAGCCCCGCCACCTTCTGAGCAAGCCTTCTCCATCTCGCTCCCCCCCTCCCCAAACATCCGGCTGCTCCAATTGTTTCGATGCGTGGGCCACGGACCATTGGGCGTGGCTTCATGGGGGGGTCACAAATGGGGGGGTCAGAAACGGTCCCCTTTCGTGCCCCTTTCGGGCCCCTCCGGAGCCCCAGGGGGCTCGTTTAGGCACCGTTTGGGTACCTTTTCGGACCACCCTCGCCACCCCCCCATTTATGACCCCCCTATTACGCAACGCCCAAAGGTCTGGACCACGTCCCCGGGAGACCGGCTCTCCGTCCCGCGTCGTCTCTTGACGCCCTCGAGGCCCGGCGAGGGACCTCAATTGAGGCCGAAAACGGCCCAGAGCCGCCTGCTCCAATTTTTCGGGGAGCGTCGGATCTCAGGGTCGCTCGCCGCCGAAGGGAGGCGGAGGTGAAAAGCAGCGCGCCGCTCGCCTGCGACACCTTCGTCCGCTCGCTGCCCGCGAGGTCCACGACGTGGAGCACGCCGGCAGTTCCTGGGCGGGCCGCCGCGCCCGCCAACCCCCCACTCGGGGGTCGGTTGCGGGGGGGCGATATATATATATATATATATATGTCTACATACATATATACATTTATACATCTATACATATATACATACATATATACATACATGCACATACAAGCATAGATCTACATATACATATCTTTATATGTATATATATATATTTATATGCATTCACCAATCAGAGCTTGCCTGTGTAGGGGTCCTAGCGGAATCATATGGTTAGGTTAGGTTTGCCGCCGATTTTCGCCGCACGCCCGGGTGCCCAGGTGCCCGGGGGTACCCAGGTGCCCGGGTCCATGGGTGCCCGGGTGCCCGGGTGCCCGGTTGCCCGTGTGTCCAGGTGCCTGGGCGCCCAGGTGCCCGGGTGCCCAGGTGCCCGGTAGCTCTATATAGCCCTATAGCCAAATTGCCCTGTAGCCCTATAGCCCTTCTAGCCCTATAGCCTTATAGCCTTTATAGCCTTATAGCCCTAATGCCCTAGAGCCCTATAGCCCTACAGCCCCATAACCCTATAGCCCAATAGCCCTATGGCCCTGTAGCCCCATAGCCTTCTAGCCCTATAGCCTTATAGCCCCATAGCTCCAAAGTCCTACAAATAGTATGATTGGGGCTGTTCTGCGGTATCATATATGTAGTATGATTTACTTATATATAGATGTGCATGTATGCACGTACGTATAACTGTAGATACAGGCTTAAGTATAGACACTGCGTATATCCACACATATGTGTGCACCTATAAATGCATCACACATACATGCGTGTGTATACATATAAGTATGTATATACATGTGTATCTTTATAGAGAGATGATCCTTATCGGCTATTTTTATAAGGACCCCCCCCGTACAGAAATTCGGCCCTGGGCGCTCCCATCGGGAACAAGTTCGAATGACTGGTTCCAAGGTCCCCTCCAGGCCGTCCCAAGACGCCAACGTAGGCCCAGGATCCCTTGCCAGACAGCCCCGCGGAGAACCGAAAGGGCCAAGACCGCTACAGACGGCCCACAAGGACCCCAAGACGCCCCACGAGAGCCCGAAGATGGCACCCACGAGGGCCTCAGACGCCCAAATTCATTGATGCTCCCCAGGTGTTCGATAGATTTTGACGTGCTCGCTTTTTCGAGCGTCCCACCGCGCAATACGGCCCAGAGGCCCCCAGATCGCCCCAAGACGGACGTATAGCCCAAGAGGGCCCCAAGGAGGACAACCCGAACTGACATTTCGAGCTTTTCCCTCCAACATGGCCCCAGAGACAGCTGAGGGACCCCAGAGGCGCCCCGAGACGGCCCCAAGAGGCCTTCAAGAGGCCCCCTCTATGAGGCCCCCAAAGCCCTCAAGGCGTCGTCAAAACGCCCTTCCCAAGGAAGCTCCAGACATGCTTCAATGATCTGATCTCGGGGGCACCCAAGAGACCCCAAGGAGAAGTCTCCCATACAGGCCTCTGCAAGTCCCTCACGCTCCTCAGGTCCCAAAGGTCTCGCACGTTTAAGAGGCCCCATATGTCCCGCACGTTCCACAGGTCCAAAAGGGCCCACAGGTCTCGCAAGTACCCCAGGTCCCACAGGTCTCGCAGGTCCCCCCAGGTCCGACAGGTCTCACAGGTCCCACAGGTCCCACAGGTCCCACAAATCCAACAGATCCCACATGTGTCAAAGGCCCCGCCGGCCTCATAGGTCATACTGGTACCCAAGTTCCAGCAGGTGCCACAGGTCCGACGGGTCTCACAGGTCTCGAAGATCTCGCAGGTCCTACATGTCCCACAGGTCCCACTGGTCCCACAGGCCCCACGGGTCCAACAGGCTTACAGGCCTCGCAGGACCCACACATGCCACAGGTCTCGCATGATGTCGCACAAGTCGCACAGGCTCCACAGGTCCCACAAGTGTGGCACGTCTCGCGGGCTCCACAAGCACGACAAGTCCCACGGGTCTCAAAGTCCCGAACGTTCCACAGGTTCCAAAGATATCGCAGGTATAGGAGTTGCCACAAATATCACACGCCCCACAAATCCTACAGATCCTACTACAGGTGTCGGAGGTCTCGCAATTCCCAGGGGTATCGCAAGTCCCATGGGCCCCACGAAGTCCACAGGTGCCGCAGGTCCAGTAAACCCGCCAGCCCCACAAGCACACCAATTCCCAAGGATCACACCTTTGCTGCTATTGGAAGGCTCTGCTGGGGTAATCGTTCTTTCCGTGATCTCATAAGTCCTCTCCCAAGATGGAGATGCTGTGCCCCGATAGAACAGTCCAGCATTTCGTGTTTTCCGAAAGGAGGAGGCAGAGGAGTAAGAGGATGATGATGATGATGATGAGGAGGAGGAGGAGGAGGAAGAAGAGGAGGAGGAGGAGGAGGAGGAGGAATAGGAGGAGGACGGGGCGCCGTAGCAGCACTTTCAGGAGCTCCCAAGTTCCAGCTCCAGCTCAGATCCATAACAATCCCAGATCCAGCTCGAGCCCAGCTCCAGCCCCAGCGCTGTGAAAGGTGAACCCCAGAAAACTCTTCGTTCCTGTCCA